CCGACGCTGGCGCGTAAGCTGCCCGCGTAAGCTCGCGCGTGAGCGCCTTTGCTTCCAACGTGCGCGCAGCGCGGGCGGCCCGCGTAAGCCACCGCGTAAGCTCGCTACGTCATCTCGCGCAAGACCCTTTTCTGATCGTCGCTCGTTTGGCGCGCTCCAGATAGGACCTCCGCCTTCGCGCATCCCCGCCCTCGGCGGCGGGCCGGCGGACGTCAAGCGGGGGCGGGCCCGGCGGTGCAGGCCGCCGTGGGAGCTCGGCAGAAGGCGCCGGCAGCAAGAGTGCGGCGTCGGCACGTGTGGGTCCAGGGCTTCCCGGGTCGCAGGCGTCAGCATCCAGGGGCCTGGTCTGGGCCCCGACGCCAGCAAAGGTGGGTCTGAGACGAGGGACTGCCCCCGAGGAAGGGGTCAGGGCCTCTGGGGCCCGCAGATTGACAACCACGGCAGCACAGACAGCAGCTATAGCAGCCACGATGAGAGTAACAGTAATGAAAACAACAGCCACAACAACAACACCACAGCGAGAATCGTAACACTACGAATAACAATAATGGAAATAATAATGATATTAAGAATCGGAATAAGAGCATTCATCAGAAAAGAATAAGAATAATAACTATCATAGTCAGTTTATTACGAATAAGAATAAGAATAATATTGATACGAATAAGAAGAAATGATAATAGCAAGAAGAAGAGGCAGAAGAAGACCAACAATAGCACTATTAATTGCTAGAATAAACTACCTGGGTGGTTAGCAGACGAAGCGCTGTATACAACAAGTTTCTCTGCCGTGCCATGCGGGCGCGCTGGCCCCAGAACGGCTGCGGAGAAGCCCCTATGTTGCCGCCCTGTGTCCGCTCATCTCAGCCCCCATAGGCCCGAAGTGCCGTCACAGGGGTCCACTTTCCAGCCGCCCCAGGACACGCGTCTCTCAGCCACGCGCAGAGGGGGGTGGGGTGAGGGGGGAGGGCTTCTTAGAAGGCGCGGGCCTTATCTTTAGATGTGAGGCCGGAGCCTTCTAAGAAGCAGCCTCCTTCTAAGAAGCCTTCCCCCCTCCCTCCATCCCCTTGTGCGCGCCGCCAAGTCTCCCGAGGAAGAGGAGCTTATCTCCTGCCGCCCTTCTTCCGCCAACTTCAGCCTCTCCAGTTGCCCTTCCGCCTCCGCGCGCATCGCGTCACGCTCGACCTGCACCCCTGCGGAAGGCAGCCGTGCGAGCTCCTCGACCTAGAGGCATAACGCTGAAACAGCTGAGGATGTCGTGGGATAACTAAACATCCGACGATGAGACTTGTTGAACACGCGATCCCAGACGTCCCGACCCCTTGCCTGGGGCCGGCCTTTCGCCTCGGCTCAACTGTTGATGGCCTCGGCGGCCGAAATGGAGCCCCCAGGGGCCGAAATATTGGAACATCGCCCGGACTGTCCGACATGCCCAACCAGCCCCCGCGCGCCCCCGCGCCGCGCCCGCGCGCCCACTGGCTCCGCCCCCCCCCCCGCCGGCGGTCCGGAGGGGGGAGACACCGCCCTATTCGGGGGCCAGCCCTTCCTCCACTCCATCTACTCCGCCCTCGCGGAGCGCCGGAGAAATTTCGTTTGCAGTTGCTTGGAATATAACATTTCTTTTTGAACTTACAGTCAAATTAAACCTAGTAATGAAAATTATGGGACCTTAAACTTAATTAATCAATGGGGGGGGCACCCGAAGAGAAGCAGAGGTGAAGAGGCGGGTTGAGGAGTGGGAGGTCGGCTGTATCAGGGGCAGGGGTGGGGTCACGGCCATGTGCAAAACGGAGTGTATGTTTCGGGGTTGGCCCAGAAGGGGGTCCAGCGACGAGGGGGTGCTGCAAGAGGTTCGGTGCAGTAGATTTGTGGGGGTGCGGTGCACTTGGGGCGTGCAATACACTTCGGGGCGCAAGTGTAGTGTTGCACTTTCGCGTGCAATACATGACTTGCAACACAATGCTGCACAATTCTCCGGCGCAGTACATTTGCAATACACATGCTCCGAATCTATTGCACCACCCCCTTTCGGCTGGACCCCCTTTATTGGGTCACCCAAAATTTTGTACCCGGGATCGTGGACGTCCGGAACAAAAAATGTGGCCGGCATTGAGGCGGGAGCACGATTCCGGGATAGATTGTGAGGAAGTCTCGGGCTCGCCGAGCGCGCGCCACCGCTCGCAGAGCGCCTACTCGCAAACGTCCGAAATACATATAGGTCTTCCTCCCTATGTAATACATCCTAAACCCCCGTGGCGGACCCAGGCAATTTGCGAGCAGTCGATTTGCGAGTGGTGGAGAACGCGCCTGTCCACAGGCGAAGCGGGTGCCAGCACCCGGCGCGCACGGGCTCCCCGCCCTCCCTTGGTGGGACTCGCCTGCCGCCCCCGCGAGACGCCCGTGGGGAGCCCTCCAGCAAAGCTCAGGAGGGAAAGAAACACACAGACACAATCATCGTCGATTCCTTAGAAAGTATGGGAAAATAGGGGCAGTGGGGGGGAGACAAAAACCCAGAAAATATAGGGAAATACGTGGAATCCGGTTATTTGTGTGTATTTATTTATGTGTCCTGGGGCCCCTTCAGCACAGCGCTAGCAGGGAAGCCCGCCCACTCCTTCGACAGGCGAACGAAGAAGAACAGAAGCATAACAACTCGGAGGTCCGCGCGGATTTCTCGAATCCGCGCTGGGCCCCCCTCCTTGGCGCGCTCCGCGCGCCAGGGACAGCGCCGGAGGCGCCGCCAGGGGGGCCCAGCGCGGATCCGAGAAATCCGCGCGGACCTCCGAGTTGTCATGTTTATGTCATTCTTCGACCCCCTAAGTATGCAAACCGACCCAGGGGTGGACAAAACCCCCACCTTGACACGTCGATTCGTGACTTGTCCGTCTTCTGCTCTCGCGAGGGCGCCGCGGAAGTCATCTTCCAGGCCTGCGCCCGCCAGGTGTGGGCCCGAGGTCGTCTTCACGAAACCACGTTGTACTTGAGGAGGTTCTGTCCATCCCGAACCGACATGCACCGAGCGCGTTCCACATCTCGCAAAGTGCCTACTCGCAAAAACGTCCGAAAACGCACATGTCTGCTTTGACGTGGTTTATCGTAGATCCCCCGCGGCGGATCCAGGCCATTTGCGAGTAGTTCCTTTGCGAGTAGTGGAAGGCGCTCGGCTGGACATTCAAACTGCAGGACGATTCGGGGCCCTCCAGTAAAACGCTAGCAGGGCAGCTGGCACTAAAAACCAAAACAAACAAACCAACAAAGCAACACACACAAACAAACAAACCCAAAAAACAAAACACACACACACACACACACACACACACAAAAACAAACAAACAAGCAAACAAACAAACAAACAAGCAAGCAAACAAGCAAACAAACAAGCAAGCAAGCAAGAAAGCAAATGCTACGTCGTAGCGCGGCTGAGGCAGTCCGCACGCGCGCTCGGCCAAGCCGGAGCTCTGGGCCCCCCTCCGAGCCGACTCGGCGCCCGGGAGCCCCGCTCGGCCGCTCCGAGCGGCCTCGGGCTCCCCGGGCATCCGGCGCCGCGATCCGTCCGCAGCGCGAGGATGTCTGGGAGGGAAGCCCTGGGGCGCTGGGAGCAGGGCCGGGCGGCCCCGTGCCCGCCTCACCGAAAGCCCGGCCACACGCAAGACCCAGAGATCCAACGTATTGGAAAAATCAAGGCGGAGGTTTTTCGCAGAGTTCGGCCCCTCCGGGCCCTCGCCGGGCCTCGGGGCCGTCAAAAGACGACCCGGGATGAAGAACCGGTCCTGGGGAATGGGGGGTCGAGACTTCCGGGGACCCCGTATTGAAAAATCACGACGCCGGATCTCTGGGACTTCGATTGCTTCCGATTCCGATTCGATTCGGCTCGGGATTCCGACTTGGGCTCCGATTTTTCTCACTGAAGGCATGCCAGCCTGCCGATGTCCGCCGATTCGGCTTCTCCCAACGCGGCTGCCAATCTCCGCCGACCCGAGTCGTGTCGATCGCCGATCCGACTTGTCGATTCGATTCTGGGCTCTCCTGCCGCTCCTGGGATCCGACGCTGCAAACAAAAAATGAAACACCGCTTCAAACATCACGACCGGACCCCTGGACCCCATCTCTATCCCCAGGCCCCCTTCGCGTGGCGAAAAGATTGCGACGGGAGGTCTGTCGTTCTTTTCGGCCTCAGGGGGCCCTTCCTGGGCCTCGGGGCCGTCAAAAAAACGACTTGGGATGAAAAACCAGTCCCAGGGAAGGGGTCGAGACCTCTGGGGGTCGACCTTTGAAAGAAAAGCACGACATCGGAGGCCTGGGCTTCTGCGCCTTTGTTCGAGCCGGATCAACATGGAGCGAAACTGCCCAGCCCAACAAAACTTGGGCCGCCAGGATGCCCCAGGGCTCGCCGAGGAGGCCCTCCTCCCGCCACCGCCCCGCGCCAACCTGGGCTCGAGCGTTCCTGCAGGCGCACTCGCTCTTTCGCGAGCCCTCCGCCGTGCCCTCGCCAAAAGTCGGGTGCTGCTAGAAGTGCCCCTGGCCCCAGGTGCCCCCAGGATTTGCAAAAGGGACCTCCGCGACCTCCAATGCACCCCTCACGAGGCCCAAGGGGGCCCCAGGGGCTCCCAGACGGAGCGACAAGGTTTCCCATCGATAGCTCCGCCCCTCAACCTCAGGCGGATCGCGGCCTTTCGCCCTGTGGGGCTTGGGCCGCTCAGGCCGCCCTACATCTCCTCCTGTCTTCCTCCTCCTCGTCGGGAGAGGGGCTACGCCAGGCTGGGAAACCCTATGTTCTGACAAGTTGGGGGGCACTGGGAGGAGGAGGAGAAGGAGGAGGAGGAGGAGGAGGAGGAGGAGAGGAGGAGGAGGAGGAGGAAGAGGAGGAGGAGGAGGAGGGGGAGGAGGAGGAGGAGTGAGGGGAGGAGGAGGAGGAGAGGAGGAGGAGGAGGAGGAGGAGGAGGAGAACAAGGAGGAAGAGGTTGGGGGGGCACCTTTTGGGCCAGGGGCACCTCTAGCAACCCCCGAAAAAAAGGCGCTCGCCAACCCCCCGCCGCGATGCCCTCGCGCCGCGCCTCGCCGCTGGCCGCGGCCGTGCTCGGCCTCGCCGCCTCCGCGGCGCTCCTGGGCGCGGGGGCCTTCTGCGGCGGAGGGCCCGCGGCGCGGGCCGGCGCCAGGCGGGCTCCCGTCGGGCACGTCCCTCCAGAGGAGGACTATGCAAAAATAGCGAAAAATTAGTCAGGGGGACTTTTGTCAGTATTTTGCTGCCTCTTTCGGAGTATGTTTCGACTATTTTTGAATATTTTGGGAGTCTTTTTTTGTCATTGTTCCCCCATTTGGGGAGTATTTTTTGGTCATTTTTATCCCCAAAAAACATCCGCCTGTAGGGGGACGTGCCCGACCGAAAGGCAGAGCCCCGCCGCCCGGGCGGCGCTGCCCGTGGAGCCCATGGTGGACGCCTCCTCGATCGTGACCGCGCTGCAGATCCAGCAGCCGGCCTGGGCGGCCAACCTGGTCCTCGTGATCGTTCCGATCTCGAGGAAGAGACAGCGCTGTAAACATACACTTTTGGCGCTCCGCGCGGATTTCTTGGATCCGCGCTGGAGCCCCCTGGCGGCGCCTCCGGCGCCGCCCCTGGCGCGCGGGGGTCTGGCGCCAGATCCCAGAAATCCGCGCGGAGCGCCCAAAGTTTATGTGTATGGCGTTTTTTCTTCTTCTACGATCAGCATCCTCATCATCATCTACCTCCAGTCGGAGAAGACGCTCCAGGAGAGGGACGCCGTGATCGGCAAGCAGAGGCTGTGAGCTCGGCGGGGTGGCTCGGCGAGGAGCTCTGGAGATCCAGCGAGGCGCCGCACGCTTGTGCGAGTGCAGCGTCATAAGCAGGCTGTCTGTACGCGCCAAGGTTTTTTGCAAACGATGATGTTGGCGACCATCGTAAAAGAAGAACGGTCCTTATCCCCATCCCCATCAGCATCGCATCATACTCGTAGTCATCTCTGCATCCGTCCTCATCCTAATGATCATCCCTTCTGATCATCCCTCCTTCGATCTTCGCATCGTCTGTTCTCATCGTCGCCAGCATTGCTCATCGTCGCCAGCATTTCCACCGTCGACCCCGCCGCTGTCGTCGCCAGCTTCACCCTCCTCTTCCGGCAGCTATGCCCTGCATGAGCCCTGGATGTAAGCCGGGCCCGTCCCTCTACAGGAGGAATAGTCAAAAATAGTAAAAACATAGTCTGGGGACTATTGTTTGAGTATTTTGTTGACCCTTTGAGTATTTTGTTGACCCTTTTGTTGACCCCGTATGTCTTGTTTTTCGTCGAAAATCCCCCTGCAGGAGGACAGGCCCGACTTCACCCTGGATCGCCAGCACGAGGACAGGGCGTCCCGGGGAGACAGGTCCTGCACCCGTCCAGGGCCTTCCCTGGTACTCTCCTCCTCCTCCTCCTCCTCCTCTTCCCCCTCCTCCTCCTCCCCCTCCTCCCCCTCCTCCCCCTCCTCCTCCTCCTCCTCCCTCTCCCCCTCCTCCTCCCCCTCCTCCCCCTCCTCCTCCTCCTCCTCCTCTCCTTCCTCCTCCTCCTCCTCCTCCCCTCCTCCCCCCTCCTCCTCCTCCTCTCCTCCCTCCTCCTCCTCCTCCTCTTCCTCCTCCTCCTGCTCCTCCTCCTCCTCCTCCTCCTCCTCCTCCTTCAGGGCTCGGCCCGAGCCATCGTCTGATGCTCCCGGGAACCCGAGAGATGGCAAACGCAGAGAATCCTCAGGACTCCTCGCCCCCAGAACTCAGGACCCCCTGCTTGTCTTTCGGGGGCGGCAAAGAGGGGGGTGATGACTAGGGGGGGTGGATATCACGGCGTGGGCCGTGATATTTCCCCAGATTTCATGGCGCCTCTTCTTAGTTTATTCCGCCCCTGCTCCCCCCCTGGGCCGCGCACATGCCGCCGGCCATGATTTGCACCCCACCCTCTTGGACGCCCCCCTCTTTGGCCGCTCCCGAGTCTTGACGAGGACGGCAGTCAACACGCATGGTAAGGATGAGCAATTTTCCAAAGCTACCCTTGCATCCTTTCCCATTCAGCCTATCCTTGGCGACTTTCGCTGGCCAACCTCATTCGAAAAACGTCAACGTGGCCCTCCAAGGCCCTTGCATCCTTACCGTGCGTCCTTGTGATTCGGGTTGACTGTACTCCTCCCTGGCCAACCCTGACGGATCAAGGGGGCCAGGGGGTGGGCTCGCCTTTCTCGGCGGTTCTGCTGGTCGGTCTTGTCTCCGGCTTTCCGAAGCCACCTCCAGTGCAGTCAGGCATCTTCTTCGTTCTGGGATTAGGCTGTGGCTGTCGTGCTTCGGCGGGAGATCCACCTAGGGTGGGCCTAATCGGACGGGGCTAGACCGAGGATAAATCCGTTCCAGAGCGTTCCAGAACGCTCTCAAAGCGTTCGGAACGCTCTGAGAAAGTCGCGGCGCCCGAGACATCCTCCAGAGCCGCTGGATCACAGATATTCTCGCGTTATCCTCACCCGAGTTCATCCTCGCCCTGGCTTGGTCTTACGATGGCTGGCAGCCCGGATGGCCATCCCCAGTGGCCGCGGCGGCGGCCCCGTCGCTCCCGCCCGAGGGGCGCGTGGCCGAGTCGGCCGCGGATTCGGCCAATTCCTGCGCGGGCAACCGCCCCTGCCAGGCAGCGGGGCAGGACGCCGGTGCCGCCGGGCGGGCCGACGTCGCGCCGACGGGCGCCGCCGGGCTCGGGTTGCCGGACCGCGCCTCCGGCAACCGCCCCTGCCAGGACACCGGGGCCGCCGGGCGGGCCGACGGTGCGCCGCCGGGCGCCGCCGAGCTGGGGTTGACGGACCGCTCCTCCGACAACCGCCCCAGCCAGCCAGCGGGGCAAGGCACCGGGGCCACCGGGCGGGCCGCGGGCGCCGTGGACGCGCCTGGAAGCGGGGCCTCCTCTCCCGGCGCCGGTCTCTCGGCGCGCCGCCCGCAGCGGCAGTGGGCCGCCTCCGTTACCACTGTGAACACGTCCAACTCGGGGCCGCTGGCAGCGTACCTGCAGCGCACGGCCTCACCCGTGATCCTGGCGCAGGAACACCATCGGCGGGGCAGCAGGCTGGCCAACTTCGAGGCGGACCTGGCAGCCCTCGGCTGGCGCGCTGCGTGGGCCCCCGCCCTGGAGGGCGCTGGCGCCGATGGCACCGTCGGAGGCACGGCGGTGGTGGTGCGTTCCGACATCCCGATCGCTGGGGTGGATGCTGCTCCTGGTGGCGTACTGGTTCCTGGTCGCGCCGCTGCCGCCCACGTCGAGTGGGGCACCCCGATGGGCCTCGTGTGCGTTTCGATCTACCTACGCACTGGCGAAGGTCTCTCCCCCGAGAACACGGCCATCCTGGCGCGCGTCTTCGGCTTCTTGCGGCGGTTGTCTGCCAGAGGGCAGCCGTGGCTGCTCGGCGGCGACTTCAACATGGAGCCTGAGGCGCTGTTCAAGAATGACTGGCTCGCGAAGGTCGACGCGACCGTGATCAGGCCCTGCGTCCCCACGTGTCGCCAGGCCCAGCCTGGGACCGTTATCGACTACTTCATCGTCCCTACCTGGCTGCGCCCGCGGGTCCGGGATACCCCTCTGGTCGACGTCACGGTGGATACATGGCCGCAGTGGCCTGTCGTGCTGTCAGTGCTAGCTGCAGAGCGTGCCATCGTCAAGCGCGAGCTTCGTGAACCGCGTGCACCACCTGCCGTGCCTCCCGTGGGATGCGCGCGGTTCCCGCGCTGGCTGCTATGGGAGCGGGCGCAGCGGCGCATCGACGCCATTTGCGACGAGGACTCGCTCGTGCTGGCCTGGGACGGCGTCCTAGATGGTATCGAGGCGGAGTTGTTGGAACGCTGTGACATTGTGGGGCCTAGTCGCCGAAGCTACGAAGGCCGGGCGGGGCCTGTGGAGCTGCACTGGAAGCGGGTCCCCTGGCAGCCACCGCAGAGGCCCGCCCGGCCAAATTCCAGCGCGGTCGCCCTGGCCACTGCGGCGTGCTGGGCCCAGCAGGTGCAAAGGTCACGGCGGTTTGTCGAGCGGGCCATGAGCCAGCCCACCGGCCACGGCTCCGATGCTGCGCCCGGTGGGCGCCAGCCCCAGGACGTCATCCCGATGGCCAAGGTCGCCGCGGTGATAACGCAGATGTACACCTTCCTGCAGCGCGTGGCGCAGCGCTCCGATGTCTTAGGCAAGCTCGAGCCCGCCCACGCGTCCCTGTTCGCCGCTGGCTTCGTGGCCGTGTCCGACCCAAGCTACGACCGTCGGCTCGAGGAGCTGGCCGACGCCGCAGAGCAGGCGGCCAGGCACGAGCAGGCGCGCCTCGACCGGGAATGGAGGGCCTGCAGGCAGGCCATCGCCGCGGGCGCTGGTGCGGCTCACAGGACGAGCAAGGTCCGCCAGCGACTCGAGCTCCCGAAGATCACGGACCTGGGAGCCCAGCCGCATCAGCTGGCTGACAAGGCCCTGGAGTCTTGGATTGCCGTCTGGCAACACCATCGCCTGCCGCCCCCGCGCCCCCCGCCCGAGGCGAGTGCCTGGCCCGAGCTGCCGCCCCTCTCTGTCGACCAGCTGCGTCGCGCGGCTCTGAGCTCCCCGACCAAGACAGCCGTTGGGCCCACCAGTATCCCACCGCGGCTGCTTGCGCAGCTCAGCGACGAGGGCCTCGACGTCTGCTGCTGCCTGTTCGAGGCGTGCGAGCGGCAGCTTGCCTGGCCCGCCGAGCGGATCGCCACGGCCCTCGTCCGCCTCCCCAAGAAGGACGGCGGCTCGCGGCTGGTCGGGCTGCTCCACACGTTGATCAGATGGTGGTCAAGGGCGCGGCGACCCTTAGCAGCTGCGTGGGAACGCGATCACCGTGCGCCGCATGTGTGGGGCAACTGCTCTGGGCGGTCCTCCTCCGACGCGGCGTTCGACCTCAACCTGCAGACGGAGACGGCGCGGGCGCTCGGACTCACCAGCATCACGGTGCTCATCGATGTTTGGAAGGCGTTCGAGATGGTGGCGCCCACCGTCCTCATGGCCGAGGCGGCGGCGCTCGATCTGCCGCTGCGGCTCACCTGGATGCTCATCTGCGTATACACCCAGCCTCGCTTCCTGCTCGCCCACGGCTCTGCCTCCCGCATGGTCAGCACCACGCAGAGCATCGTGGATGCGGCCACGCCACCACCCTGCTGGCCGTGCTCACTTACCGCGCGGTCATCCGAGCTGGGGCGTACTCCCCGCCGTGGTGCCGCGGCAGCTGGTGGACGACCTCTCGCTGGCCTGGTCTGGGTGCCCGAACAGGGCCAGTGCCCAGCTCGAGCCTCCCTTGACAGCGCTTCTGGAGGACCTCGAGGAGCTGCGCCTCCCCGTCAACGTCTCCAAGCTGGGGCCGGTCGCGAGCCACGCCAGGGCGGCTCGCGCCTTCCAGGCCAGCGCCCGTCGGCTACACATCAAACCCACGGACTGGATGCGGAACATGGGCCACGAGCTCGCGGGGTCGCGGGCGCTGCGCCGCCGGGAGCACGAGCGTGTCCGCCACGTGCTAGCCCGGCGCGGGCGGCTGCGCATTTTGCACGGCGCGGTTGGCCCCAAGGTGCGCAAGCTCCAGCGCACAGGCCTCGCGCCGGCAGCAGCGCGCGGCGCAGGAGTCAGCGGCGTCGCGCCGCAGGCCCTTCGGCAGTTGCGCACGCTCGCCGGCCAGCTCGCCGGGGCCAAACCCGCCGCCAGCCTCACCATGGTGCTCGCCTTGCAGGACGACGCACGATTCGACCCCCTGCACGCGGCCACGCTCGGCATCGTTGGGCGCTGGGCAGCCTGGCTGCGGGACCGACGGGGGCAGCTGGAGCCGGTCTCTTGCGCCTGGCAGGTGGTCTCCGCGGCTCTGGAGGCGCGCCCTTCGTGGGCGGCCGCGCGGGGGCCCATGGCTGCCGTCTGGCTCTCCTTGCAGCGCGTCGGCTGGACCATGCCCGCCGCCCACGCCATCCAGTCGGACCTCGGCGCGCAGTACGATCCGCTGCCTGCGCCGCCTGCGGGGCCGCGACCGAGGACCACCCCCATCGCTGGTTTGGCTGCGCGCCGCTGCTGGCCGCCCCAGACGAGCAGCCGCCCGAGCGACGCGAGCGCGCTCTCGCGGCGCGGGAGGCCATCATCCAGGAGTGCGCCGCGGGCTTCGGGGGTGCCAGCTTGGACTCGCTGTCGAATGTCCTATGGGCCCCCGTGCATGCCCACCCTGGCAGAGCTCCCCGAGCCCCCCTGCCCGCCCGCGATTCGGCGGGGCGATCATGCGGGGCCTTGGCGCGGCACCGTGCACGCCGACGGGTCCGGGCACGCGGCCGACGTCCCCGAGCTCGCGCAGCGCACGTGGTCGGCGTTCCAGATCAGCGACATGGGCATCCGTTGCGAGCTCTTCGTGGCGCGCTCCCCGGGAGCATCCAGACCTTGGCGCGGGCTGAGCGCTACGGCGGCGCCATGGCCTTCGAGGCGGGGGACGGCGTCGACTGCCTGGTCTCCGACCACCTCTCGTTCGTGACCGAGGGTCTGCGCTGGAGCGCCAGGGACGCATCCTCGCGCGGCACCCATGCGCGGCTTTGGCGACGGCTGCGCAGCGCCATTGCGTGGCGCGCCGACGCCGCGGCGCCCGACTTTCGCTGGGCCCCCTCTCACCTCACAGCCGAGGAGGCGCTCCACCGCGGAGTGCCGCTCATAGACTGGATCGGCAATGCTTGGGCAGACTGGTTCGCGTCGGCGGCCATGTGGCAGGTCCGGCTGGCGCCAGGGCTCGCGCGGAACCTCGAGCTCAGGCTCCAGCACGTTCTCAGCGTCGTGGAGTTTCACGCGTGGGCCTCCGTGCAGGTGTACTCATCGGGCCTCTGAGACTCGAATGAGGCGGCGATGCCCAGGCCGCCCCCGGCCCCGCCCAAGCTGACCATCATCCAGCACGACTTGCACTGGTGCCCCCACCCTCGGACCCAGGACCGCCAAGGCCTTGTCTGCCTTGCCTGCGGGCGCACGGCCTACACCAGAGGCGCCCAACGGGCTTTGGCGGGGTCCGCGTGCGCGCCGACCACCCTGGGCCACGAGCGGGCGCTCTCCGTCCTCGGGGCCGCGCCCACAGCAGCAGGCACTTCGCCGGCGCCGCCCCCCCCGGCCACTTGTTGCGCCGACGCCAGCGTGGCCAACGGGAGCCAGCGAGACGCCAGCCTCCAGGCCAAGGTGGATTATCTCCGCCACGCCGCACGCGCTGCCGCCCCCGCCGCGCGGGCCGCCGGCGCGCTGACGCCACGGCCCGCGGCCGGTGGAGATTTTGGCCTGGATCGGGCGCCCGCGCCGCCCGCGCCGCAGCCCGCGGCCGCTGGAGATTCTGGCCTGGATCAGGCGCCGGCGCCGCAGCCGCGCCGCTGGCTGGTGGACCCGCTACGGTGGCGAGGCTGGTGGACCGCCGTGCCAGGCCGCGCGATGATGGCCCAGCGGGTGGCCGCGGCTCGGAACCCGAGGATGATTACTTCGCGCCGCGCCCCGAGGCTGGCCCCTCTCAGCCGGCTGGTCCGGGCCCCGTGCCTGGCCGTGCTGCGCGCGAGGGGCAGGGGCGTGGTCGGCCCCGCTCACCGGCTTGCGAGCTCGACGCCGGGCCGCGCCCCGACGCTGGCCCCTCGGCGCCGCCGCCCGCCGATGATGGAGAACCTGACGCAGGGGACGCGGGCGTGCCGTCCGCTCCCAGCCCGGCGCAGGGGGCCGCGGTCTCGCACCTCGCGGGGGCCCTCGTGGTGGGGGCGCTCTCGGCCGCAGCCGCGACCTGCGGGGCCGAGGGCGCCGAGGCGGACCCGCAGCCGGACGCGGCGCCTGGCGCAGGAGAGGAGGCGACCCCCCCCCGATGCCCTCGCGGCGCACGACGGCGGGGAGCAGGCCGCCGACGGCGCTGACGCGCTCCACCCGGCGCCCAAGCGCCCCAAGCGGGCTCCGGCGCTGGCCCGATCCTGGCGGCGCATGGCCCGATGAAGGAGAGGCTCGAGGCGCGCGCCCGAGGTGCGGAGGCACCCGCGCCTTCGGCTGCCTCAGCTGGGGGTGATGCTCGCCCTGCTGGTTCGGCGGAGGCGGCGGCGCACCGCGGCGCTGCCTCGCAGGTGCACGTGCCCGGCGACTCCGAAAGCCACGGCCAGCAGCAGCCGAGCGCGAGGTCTCGTGGCCGGATGGCCGAGTGCGAGGCCACGGCGAGCCGCCCCGCCGCGCGACCTGCCTTGGACACGAGCGGTGGCGCGGCGTCCGAGGGGGCAAGGCCCCCCTCCCGCCCACCTGCTCCTTCTGCCGCTGCTCTCGCCCGCGGGGAGGGGGGGTCGTCGTCGGGTGGATCGTCGGGTGGAGCGGGCGTCGGGTTGGGAGAGAGTGCGAGCGGCCCCGCCGGCGCGGGTGGTCCGCCCGCGTGTGTGCAGGACCGTGGCCACGAGCTTGTCACGTGTTCGACGTTCGTGGTCTGCCGTCGCTGCGGGGCCTACGCGTCACGCGGGGCCAGGCGGCTCCAGAACGATTGCACTGGAGCTCAGGGAGCGCGACCCTGCCGAGAGAGAGCGGCGCCGACGACGCGATCGCCCCCTGGCAGGGCTGCACCCCCGCACGGGTGCCAGCCTGAGCGGTGCCCCTCGCGACCTCTAGGGGCATTGGGGCGGGGTCCCTCTGGTCCTGCTTGGTCTGGGCGGCCCGGGTGGTTGGGGTGGCCCTGGGGCCCCGTCGCCTAGGCTGGCACCTGTGCTTGCGTAGGGCTTGGGGCCTAAGCTGCCCGCGTTGGCCCCCGCGGCCAACGCGCCTGGGAGTTATCCATCCTAGACGTTTCGGGAGGCTCCTGTGGCCTGCCACTCGGCCCAAGTGCTGAGTGGCCCTGGCGCCCAAGCGGCGTCGCACGGCGACGCGGGGACACGTTGCCAACTGGCCGAGTCGGCGGGTAGGCCCCACGGGGTCCCCTGCCGCCTTCTCATGGCGTTCCAACACACACACACACACACCCACACACACACACAAAGACACAATTAATCGTCCATTCCCAGAAATATATGGGAAAACATGGGAAGTGGGGGGAAGACGACAATAAAAAAAATAGCCTGACGAAAGACACAACCATACGTAGTTGTGAATACCGCAATTGTGGATATATTCCTCGGTGGCGCCCCCTATGGGGCCACGAACCGCATGAAGGGCGTGCCGAAATGTGTGGCGGGGGCACACAACGCGAAGGAAACTTATATTTCTGATTACGAGAGACTGAACGCGGATGAGTCTGAGCGCGAGTGCGTCTGTTTGTGAATAGGATTGCGTGCGAGCGAGTCTATGTTCATGAATGGGAGCATGACCAAGCTCAGTGTAATTTTATATGAATGTGAACGGTTTGAGTATAACTGGTTCTGAGTACTTGTGAAATTGACGGTGGCCGCCGCGAGGAGCCCCCCCCCCAGAAATGCCAATGGCAGCGCCCGCACGCCGCGACGCCCGTGTCGGCGCGCCCCTCACGAGGATAGCGCCCGCTTTTCTTATGTCCCTTTCTCTTTGCCCGCGCGCCGCGGAGCCCCCGCGACGCGCGCAGGTCGCCGCGGAGGGGTCCCAGCGACGCGCGCGGGTCGTCCGCTGCGCCGAGCACAGAGAGCTAGCCGGCTGGCTGATTGCGGGCAAGGCTCCGGCCGGTGGGCAGAGCGACGACGGGCGAGCGAGGCGCTGGGCAGAGCGCCGCACGGAATCCCCGCGACGCGCGCTGGTCGCCCCGGAAGGGTCCCAGCGACGCGCGCGGGTCGTCCGCAGCGCGAAGCCAGACAAGTAGTTGGACAGTCGAGAGAAGGCGCGGCTCGGGGGGGGCGCTCCTCAGGTCAGGCCTCGCGGATAAACTCGGTGAAGCCGAGCTCCCTGGCGAGGGCCGTCGCCTCCCTCCTGCACCGCTTCGTGCGCGCCGCAAACTGCTCCAGCTGCTTCCGCAAGCCCTCCGGCGGCCCTGCCAGGAAGAACTCGATGCGCGGCGCCCGCATGAGCAGGAGGTCCTCGTGGCGCGTGGCGCGCGAGAGCAGCGCATAGAGCTCCAGCCACCAGTCGTCGTCCTCCTTCTTGCCGTTCCCGACCTCGTGGCGGCCGCAGTCCAGGATCACGCCTGGGCGACGTCGGCCGAGGGAGCAGTGCGCCGGGCAGCCGACGGCCCAGGGCGAGAGTCCGCAGGACCGAGGTCTGGCCGCGGACTGCTCGCGCCCCGGAGGTCTGGCCGCCCCCGGAGCGCCGTTCCCCCGCCCCGTCGCCTTCTCGCATGGTGCGCCCCTTGCACGCCACCGTGGTGATGACCCTGCCGTGCGAGAACGGGAAGCCCGCCCGGGTGACCTTGGAGGTGCGGAAGGTGAACGGCTCCGACGTGCGGGGCTCGATGAACACCAGCGGGCCCGCGAGGTCCCTCGTGAGGCTGTCGTCGTGGCGCTGCAGGTCGTCCACGAAGGGCGCGCTCGCGCACTTCTCCATGCGCACCCAGAACCCCAGCGGCAAGCGCCTCAGGTAGATATTCTTCTCCACGTCTCTCTCTGCTCTCTCGACGTCGTCCCGATCCCGAGGGTCCACGACGATGTGCACGATCTGCCCCTCGGCGTCCTTGACGAGGCCGTTCTTGAGGTCGAGCGCCTCCAGGAGCCGGATCCGCATGCCCACGTGCACCGGGAGCAGTCCGTGCATGCCACCGGTATTCTTCGGGTTGGCACAGTTCATCATCTTGGCGGCGTCCTTGACGTTCATCGTCGGGGCAGACCTGTCGGCCGCCTGCACGAGGAAGAGGGGCTTCTTCAGGACGTCCGCGCCCCGCTGGGCTCGCATGTTCATCCACCGCGCCACTGTGTCCCAGTAGGACCCGATCATGTGGCCGTTCTGGAACCTCTCCTCCCGGAGCCGGCGATCATCGGGTTTCAGCTGCATGGCGTTCCACGTGGCCCGGATGGCCGGAGGGACATGCTTCCCCGGTTTGCGCAGGAACGCCATGAGATCTCGGAGCTTGGTGTCCTTGAAGCGGTTGGACGCCTGGAGCTCGAAGCACAGCGGCGTGTTGCAGAAGAGCTTGATCACTGCCTGGCACTCTGGAGCGAGGTTGACGCCCGCTCCAGAGCACCAGGCACGATGGGCAAACGGCGGCGGCGCCATGCGCACTGCGCCACGGGGACCTTAGGTGGAGCTCCATATGGGGCCACGAAACGTGTGAGGGGTGTGCCGACATGGGGCGGCGCCGCCTATGGGGCCACGAAACGTGTGAGGGGTGTGCCAGAATTTGGGGTGGAACCGCATGCGAGCGCAGCCACTGGGGCGTTCGGTGGAGCTCCCTATGGGGCCACGAAACGCGTGAGGGGTGTGCCGAAATGGGGGGGTGGAACCGCATGCGAGCGCAGCCACTGGGGCCTTCGGTGGAGCTCCCTATGGGGCCACGAAACGTGTGAGGGGTGTGCCAGAATTGGGGGTGGATCCGCATGCAAGCGCAGCCACTGGGGCCGTCGGTTGAGTGGAGCCACGAAACGTGTGAGGGGTGTGCCGAAATGGGGGGGTGGAACCGCATGCGAGCGCAGCCACTGGGGCGTTCGGTGGATGGGGCCACGAAACGTGTGAGGGGTGTGCCGAAATGGGGGGGTGGAACCGCATGCGAGCGCAGACGCTGGGGCCTTCGGTGGAGCTCTCTATGGGGCCACGAAACGAGTGAGGGGTGTGCCGAAATTGGGGGGCGGAACCGCATGCGAGCGCAGCCACTGGGGCTCTCGGTGGAGCTCCCTATGGGGCCACGAAACGTGTGAGGGGTGTGCGAGCATGGGGGGTGGAACCGCATGCGAGCGCAGCCACCGGGGCCTTCGGCGGAGCCTCCTTATGCAGCCACGCGACGTGTGAGG